TTTTTTTTTTTTTTTGTGGTAGAAGGAAAAACAAGATATCAGGAGATTATATCTTGCTCTCACTTAAAATTCAAGTATCTCTTTTTAAACCTACTTTATATATTGTTTTTATGTGGAGTGTGAAAGTATTTCCCTGCTAAAGAATTAGGAAACCATAGTATTGTGCTGTATAGCCTCTTGGAAATATTGCCGATGCAACTGCTCATTCAGGCACTCATCTTGCCGTGTTGGCTCATGAGCTAGATGATAGAGTAGATAGAGAAAAGCCAATATTAGTCTACTGTTCTAATTTAATAACTTCTAGTTAGTGAATGTGCAAGAAATGAAACCCCTTGTGACATCAACATAATTTAGGCATTGATATCTTGGCTTTTCAATTTCTAGGTAGCATCTATTTTTGGTCAAGTGGTAATTAACATTTTGTATTCTCTCAATGTTGAAATATGAAGAATTAAACTAAACACATTAAGCTTTGTCTGTAGGAAACTATTGGTTTTTGTGTGCGTGCTTAATTTTTTTTAACAGTTGGTAATTTTATCAAGTCTAATTATTTAGACCAAACTTATACTTTGACAATAATAGTATATTACTATGTTATAAAATTCATTTTTATTTTTCGTTAGGTCGAACTATTGGAAATGGAAAAATCACAAATCCGTTCACAGTGTGAAGAACTCAAAACTGAAATTGATCAGTTAAAATCTGCAAGTCAACACATAGGAACAGTTGTTTCAACTTCAAGTAGCATGGAGGATTCTGTTAATAATATGGATGGGGAAAGGTAATATTTAAATGAGTCATTTTCCAGGGCCTGCATGTATGGCTCACATTTTATCTGCTAGCACACATCAAATAGGTATTCTACAAAAAGAAGTAATTGATCCAATGTGATCCCAATATTCTGATACATACAAAACACACCAGCATCCTTCCTTCAAGTTGCTCATAGTTAGGTTCTATTGAAGTGAAATGGGAATTTAGAAGGATATGACATTTGATTGGTCAGAGTAGTTTGGAATTTTTTTGTGTGTGTAAACTAAAAACTGACTTAGATTTTAAAGAATGGGGTGAATTTGAGTATGACTAGAACAAGAAACTTACTGAAACTAAACTTTTTCAACTGAATTTATTTTTTCTTTTACTTTTGTATTTGGGGCACTGTTTCTATATGGGTTCACTAATGTCCTCTTTAAGAATCAGCCAATGGAATGGTGATTAAGGTGGCTGGATCACATATAGCCGACTGAGCAGTTCAAGCCCAGGCCTGGCTGCTTGAAAACATGTGCATGTGTGTGTGTATACCCAGGATCCCTAGAGGAGAGTGGAGAAGAGATTGCAATGCAGCTATCCTTTCTCATTTCTGCTCACTCTCCCTCTCTCTCTTTCTTATCTCTTGCTGGCGAGTACACTTGCCCTATAGCAGATGAAAAAAAATCTTCTATAATACTAACTTTTAAGAAATCACAAAATTAATAAAAGTTTCCATAGTACAGGTAATAGTAAGAAGCCCTTTTAGGGCTGGCCTCATGCATAGCCTTAAGTTAAGAGAGCCAATCCCGAATGGCCCACTATAGTTCAAACCTTAACCCCAACAGCTTGAAAAACATGCTGGATTCATGTGTATGCATGACCCAAAATCCCTACAGGATGGAGAAGCGGAGGAAAGGGACTGTGGTGTGACCATTCCCCATTGAGGAATGCTTTTTCCTTTGCTCCCCTGTCTATCATTCTGTCGCTATCAGGTGAACACATGTGCCCTCCAGCAATTAAAAAAAAAAAAAAGAAGGGAACCAGCAGTTAGTGTAATGGCTATGTCGCTGGACTCCCACGTAGTCGACCGTGGTTTGCGTCTCGGACCCGGTGGCTTAAAACTCACGCCGGGCACATGTGCGTGTGTGCCCAAGATTCCGAGAGGAGAATGGAGAAGGGATTGCGACGTGACCATACCCCGTGGGGGGGGTGATTTCTCGCTTTCTGTCTCTATGTTTCTTTCTGTCTGGCAGGCGTACACGCCCTATAGTGAAAATCTTTCAAAAAAAAAAAAAGAAAAATGAAAAAGGAAGAAATCCTTTTAAAACAAGGAAGCAAGGGCCAGTCCATGTTGTGGTAATTAAGGCAGCTGGATCCCACATGGCCAATTGTGTGGTTCAAGTCTTAAACTCGGTGGTTTGAGAAATGTGCCAGCCATAAGTCTGTGTGTGGCCAAAATCCTGAGAGGAAAATGGAAGAGAAGGGATTACAGCATGCTATCCCCAGAAGGACATTTTCTCATTCTCTCTCTCTTTGGCAAGCCCACATGCCCAGTAGCAAGTGAACAATAATAATAAAAATGAAAAAAATTGAGACCCAAAAGGTACTTTTTTTTTTTTTTAATTTGTGTCAGAGGGCTCATGCACTCACCAGGGAGAGAAAGAGGGAAGTGAGAAAGCATTCTCCCTCAGCTTCACTCCCAATGGGCATGGTCACATTGCAAATCTGTTTTTTTTTTAATTTCTTCCTCGGGATTTGGGGCATGCACACACATGTGCCTCATGTGTTTCTCAAGCCATTAAATCTAGGGCTTGAACTGCCTAGTTAGCTATGTGGGGTCCAGCTGCCTTAACTGCCAGGCCATAGGCTGGCCCAAGGTACTGTTGTTTAGAAATAACTCTGGCCTGCCACAGTGTTGCAAGAAGTAGGGTCACTGCTGTGCAATTCTGGAAGCTATATATGTCTTGGGTCTTCTGAATATACCAGGCACAGCTAGGATTCTGGCTGGCTACAGGACTAGGTAGGGGGTGCAATGTGAAGACTCCATCAAGGGTGTTCTTCCTTTTCCTGTTCCTCCTCTCCTCACTTAAAGGAAATACACTTATTTTTTTAAAGGAAGGACAGAAAGAAAGTGGTATCTTGACATCCTTACTTGAAAAATGATTGGTTTGTCTTTCAAGTTTTTTTTTTTTTCTTCAAGAGAGATTTTAACTAGAGGATGCTTATGCTCACCGGAGAGACAGAGAGATAGAAAGCAAGATAGCACCCCTTAGGGGAGATGGCCATGCTGCAATCCCTTATCCTTCATTCTTCTCTCTGGTTTTTGGGCATACAGGCACATGCATCCAGCATGAGTTTTAAGCTACCAGGTTCAGGACTCAAACTGTGGTTGATTATATGTGATTCCAGTGATGTAACCATTATACCATCTGCTGGTCCTAGCTTACGTTTTTAAAGATTTTGTTGTATCTCTTGATGGAAACAGAAGAAAGCAGTACATGTAATCATGGAGACCAAGGGATCAAAATAGAAAGCTTGCCTAGTGTTTTTCAAAATGAGGACCACAGACAACATCTCTGGTGCTTGAGAAATGGGCCTTTCTGCATTTTAGGGAATTAACTGGTTTTGTTTGCTATTCTAGAATCTGGTAGTACTTCATTCCATAAAATAGAGTAAGTTTCCCAAAAACTGTTAAATTTTATTTCTTCCATGAACAAAAGAGTGAGGGAGTATACCCCAGACTGGGTCTCAAAACTGAGAACCTCCTAATTCCTTTGCCAGCCCCAGATCATGTGCAAGCATGTGCCCTGTGACTCAGGGAGGTCTCTGGATTTGAACTGGTAACATTTTCATGTGGTATTGCTTCACACATGTTGCATTTTATGCTGTGCCACCATCTGGCCCCCAGAAACTTAAAAAAGTACCCATATGGGACCAGCAGTTAGTGTAATGGCTATGTGGCTGGACTCCCATGTAGTTGACCATGGTTTGAGTCCCGGGCGCGTGTGTGTGCGTACCCAAGATCCCAAGAGGAGAATGGAGGAGAAGGGATTGCGGCGTGGCCATCCCCCTGGGGGGTGATTTCTCGCTTTCTGTCTCTCTATCTCTCTCTGTCTTTCTGGTGAGCACATGCCGTATACAAAAAAAAAAAAAAAAGTACATATGATTCTCTTTATTGGGGAGGGGAGAGGTTTTCGCTATAGGGCGCCTGCGCTCACCAGAAAGACAGAGACAGAGAGACAGAAAGTGAGAAATCACCTCCCAGGGGGGATGGCCACGCCGCAATCCTTTCTCCTCCATTCTCCTCTCAGGATCTTGGGCACGCACGCATGCACACGTGCCCGGTGTAAGTTTAAGCCGCTGGGTCTGGAACTTGAACCGTGGTCGACTATATGGGAGTTCAGTGACATAGCCATTACAGTAACTGCTTGTCCCTATATGATTCTCTTATAATCTAAACTTTGAGTAACTGATAGTCTTTTTTTTTTTTTTTTTGTCTAGAGTGATGACACTCATAAACTTGAAGGAATAATCATCTTAATCCTGGGTTACCAATGTTTTGGCGAAATACCATTTTCTTTAAATGAATGGTGAAATGGATAGTCAGTGAACTTGAGCATATCCTAGGCTCATAAAGTCCTATAACTTAATAAGGTTGTTTTTTTTAACTCAAAATTTTGTAAACTTATTTGAAAACAGAATCTTTTTTTCTCTCTTACACATTTAGGATAGCTGAAGAAACATGGATCTTTCTTTTGCCTTTTTTTTTTTAAGTGAGATTTTTGCCATAGTGTATGTGCCCCCACCGGAGAGATAGAAAGAGACAGAAAGCAAGAAATCACCCCCCTCCCGGTGGGGAGGGTGGCCATATCGCAATCCCTTCTCCTCTATTCTCCTCTCAGTATTTTGGGCATGCTCATACACGGGCCCGGCGTAAGTTTGAAGCTGCCGGGTCCAGGACTCAAACTGCAGTTGACTACGTGGGAATCCAACAACGTAAGCTTTACACCAACTGCTGGTCCCTCAAAAAACATGTTTAAGAAACAATTTTGTTCAGTCCGTTTTCCTCAAAGGAAAGTTGAGGCACAGCTCTAGTGAGTAGTGCTCTGCAATGCTGGAAGCCATATGGAGATAATAGGTTTGATTCCTGGGTTAACCTTTACATACTGGGCTTACACTTACGTGTTTATGATCCTGGCTGGCTAAAGGCAAGAGGATTGTCACTGTGCGAGACTGTCAAGGTGCTTATCTGCTTCTCTTATGAAAGAAAAGCTTGGAAAAAAGTGGGGAGCTGAAGTTCAAAGAAATACATTCTTATTCTTGGACCATTCTTCTCACTAGAATATCACTACTGGTTTCCTGATGATAACAATATTTTATTTTATTTCTTAAAAGAATTATTTATTTGGGACCAGCAGTTGCCGTAATGGCTATGTTGCTGGACTCCCATGTAGTCAACTGCGGTTTGAGTTCTGGACCTGGTGGCTTAAACTCACGCTGGGTGTGTGTGCGTGTGTGCCCAGGATCCCGAGAGGAGAATGGAGGAGAAGAGATTGTGGCATGGCAGTCTTCCCTAGGGGGGCTATTTCTCGCCTTTTATTTCTCTGTCTGTCTCTGTCTTTCTGACGAGCACACGAACCCTATAACAAAAAGAAGAAAAGAAAAGACTTATTTATTTTTATTTATTCATTCACTTTTTATTTTAATTTGACCACAGAGAGAGAGAGAAAGTGAGAAAGCAAGCCACCAGGTCCAGGACTTGAACCGTGATTTGCCACGTGGGAGTATCCAGTGCCTTAAACACCACATCACCTGCTGGTCTTGATAACAGTATTTTAAATTGTATAATAACAGCTTCTGATTTATGTATTTTGCCAGTCCATATTTTCTTCAATCTGCAAGTACATAAGTAGGAACTGAACAGAGACACTCGTTCCATGAAACAGTCTTCTTGGATTTAGGCTGTTATCTAATGGACAAGATGAATTATAAAATAAATGAAGTATCTGATGAAAGTTTTGCTTTTCACTTAATTGTATATCATTCTACAGAGATTTGATTTTATTTTTCACTTGATATTTAACTCTATGTGACTATTAAGCTGTATTGTAATGCCCATCTAACAAGTTTAATGTTTGTATTGCAGCCTCAAACTTCGATCTCTTCGAGTGAATGTAGGACAGCTGCTGGCCATGATTGTGCCTGATCTTGATCTTCAGCAAGTGAATTACGATGTTGATGTAGTCGATGAGATTTTAGGACAAGTTGTCGAACAAATGAGTGAAATCAGTAGTACTTAAAGTACATTTTGTGTGAGCTAATAAAAATATTTGCGCACTTATTTTGGTTGTACAGCTTTCCAAATGTAAACAATTTTGTTTTATAGGTATGGTAGGTAACAGAATGAAGAACCATAATTTTGACTGTATTCTATGCATTTAAGTGTGCTCACAAATACTGTGAACACACGGTCACATCTTTTGAAATACTTATGTATTGTTGGTATTGAGCAGCTGAAAAGCTAATTCATTATTCTGATTTGAATGTAAATATTTGTAATTAAATCTGCAGATATTTTTTTATTGCCCTAGAGTACTTAAGGGTTTTCACCAGGAGCTTTTCAGGTTGTCTCTAACCTTTGTGCAATTTTTTTCTGGTTCCCCAAATGTATTTTTCTCTGAATCTTGAGGGCTGTGCCAAAATACATATGGAGATATTACCTTTGATTTTCTTATAAAGGAATTTAGATAGACTTTTTAAATAATGTATTGACAGTCCTGATACAACTCTAGTTATAAGTGAATTGAGCATTGGTGTTTCTTTTCTATAAATTCCTATTTTATTTCCTGAAATACTTTCTTCATGAAAATAAGGTAAGCAGAAACTGACTCCATTTTGCCAGGATTTTTGTTGTGCTGAGATTGCCAATCGTGATTAAACACGAGGTGTTTTTATAGAACAAAGAAACAGTCTTTACTATAAAAAGAATATTGACCACCAAGTTTACTTTAAAGCCCATTTTTGGCTGTTTAGTCAGAATGGAGTGGGCACAATAATTATTTAATATTTCTTTTTGTGAAATTTCCTGTACAGCCTTTTGTAGGATTACTACAGATGGGGACCAGCAGATTACGTAATGGTTTACATCACTGGGCTCCCATGTAACCCACCATGGTTCGAGTCCCAGACCCTGCAGCTTCAGACTCATGCCAAGTGTGTGTGCATGCTCAAAATCCTGAGAAGAGAATGGAGGAGAAGGGATTGCAGCGTGGCCATCCCTCCTAGAGGGTGATTTCTCACTTTTCTGTCTCTGTCACTGGTGAGCACAGGTGCCGTGTAGCAAAATCTCTCTTAAAAAAAAAAAAGGATGACTACAGGTTAGTGAGTTGAGGAAGACAATCTTTCTCAAACAGTACTAGAGACATAAGTGTTTTATATCCTGGAGTTAAGGAACAAACTGCTCTTGGATTATAGTATTACATGCCATTAAAATATTATGCTTTATTGGTCACACATTTTGTGCAATTTTAAAGAGATGGCTTTCTATTAAGTATAACTGTATATATAATTAAGAATCATATTTTCCACACCTAAAATGTGCATTATTTTTTCCAAAGTTTTATCATTGCTATTTATTTTTACTTTTATTTCTGAACATTCAGTATGTGTTCATTTTGTAAGTATGCTTAATTACTGTCTGTCATATTCAATATTAAACTTTTACTGTACATTAAGTTCTGGAAGAGCAAATAAATGAAGATTGTTTTTATTTGCTTGATAAAGTAATTGAAAGTGTATTTTTGGTATGAAGCTGGTTTTCTGTCACAATTGTAACAGCTCAAATTTTAAAATATCTTGTAATAAAATAAAAATGATTGCTGACTCTTCAGATATTACTTCTAAAGAGGTCAATATTAGCTTCAAATTATTTAAGTTTATGTCTTTTTTTTTACTTTGCCATTTTTTCCTTTGTTCAGCTTCTTTATTCTTGCCAGAATGTATTTTAATATGACTGTTCCTTGACTTAATGTGAAAATTAATCATAGAAACCTGCTTGCTAAACTGATTCTCTGGAAGTACCATTTTACATATTTTACATATTCACTCTTTAAGAAAATATTGCTAAGATATGAAAACTTTGAAAATGTGGCTAACAAGAAACTTAAAAGAACAGTAACATGGGCTTTCATGTTATTTATGAAGTGATACCTGTCTCTCTTATTGAATTTTGTTAAAAAAAGGCAGTATGGGAGGGCAGTATTGTTTAAATTAATATTTATTGTTTTAAAACAAAACAAAGTATGAGGAAGTAAGCCCAATGGTATGTAGTCTTTACAAACAAGACTCCAAAGTCAGTTAAATCTAAGTGACCTCACAGAGC